TGTCTCAAATCTCCCTCTGCCTCTCTCTTTTAAGGATACCCGTCATTGTGTTTAGGACCTACCCTAAATCCAGGATGACCTTATAATGCAGTTTTGCTTTGGTTTTTAATGCTGTCTTGACCCAGCTTTGAGGCCCTAGCTAAAGGAGTCAGTTTCCCTTCTTGAGCAGCTGATTAAGTCCTGTATCGGGCTCTCACACTCCTCATTACTGTGTACCTGCCCTAATCACCCCAGCGCCAGATACCAGACAACTAGCAGATACCAGATACCAGCCCTCTTTCCTGGAGCCCTTGAAATTATTCTAATTAGTCGATCCATAGGGAGCCCATGAAACCTAGCTATCCCCACTCCACTTGCCACACATAAGCTGTCTCCTACAGCTCCAGCTGGCTGTTACCCTGTCACTGGGCACCCTGTGGGGACTGCCTGGCAGTCTTCTCTCATTCGGAGCCGTAAATAACAAAAAGTTCTCTCTCATCTATCTTCATGTCATTCTGTTGTGTCCTTCCATCAAAAGAAACTTTAAATCTTATAAAGCAGATCTCATCTCAAGATCCTTAATTATATCTGCAAAGACCCTTTTGCCAAATACGGTCACATTCACAGGTAGGCATATCTTCTGGGGTGCCACAGTTCAACCGACTATACCCTCTTTGAAAGTCTGAAGAAACTTTCCCTTCTCATTTCTTGAATCATCCTCCTCTGCCCTATCTCTACATAATGGAGTACCCCAGGACATCTTTGTGTCTCTATGTCATCACTCACTGCAGAGGTAACCTCATCCACCCCCACAGACTTAAAGACCATCTATACCCTTATGACTTCCACATTTATATCTCCGGTATTCCCTTAACTCTGATTCATGTATCCAACCTCCTGCTTAATATCTCCACTTGGGTGTTTCATATGCACCCCATGCTTAACATGCCCCAAAACAAACATCCAATTTCCCCTGTCCATCCCATTCCAATCCTACAGTGTTTTACATCTCATTAAATGATACTTCCATTTAATTTTAAATTTATGGCTCAAGCAAAATATCTTCAAGTTATTTTTGACTCTTCATTCTCTTAAACCCTGCATCCAAGTCATTAACACTCATATAGGTGCTATGTCCAAAACGTATCTGGACGCCCGTGACCAGCCTGGAACACACCTATGTTGTATCTCCCCTGCCCTCATGCAGTAGCCTCTTGATGTGTGTCCCTGCTTTGTCCTTGCCCCACTAGGCAAGTCCACTCCATCCTCACCTCAAAGCAGAGACAGCAGAGAGCCTGAGTGGACAGCTCGGCTGGCAGAGGTCACGATGTGAAATCAGACCATACCACTCACCTACCCAAAACCCTGCAGTGGATTCCCATCACACTTGGCGCTATGGCCCTCAGCTCTTCTCCAACCTCAGCTGCTCCTCTCCCCTTCACTTGATTCTGGCTTCACTCATTTCCCTGCTCCTCTTAGAACACACCAGGCCTGCTTTCACCTCGGGGCTGTTGATCTGTCTATTCCTGCTGATCTGAACGTGTCTCACGCACATATGTGCTTGGCCCATTCCTTCACTTCAGACAGGTCTTGGCCCCTCTGTCATCCCATGTGGAAGGCGTCCCTAGCTGCCCACTTATAGCAGCCGTCCTGACCCTACCACCTGTGCCGATACTTCCTCTAGCACCTCACTTGCTGTTTTCCTCCACGGCAGCTATCACAGGCTGAGATTACAGTGCATATTTGTTTGTTTATTGGATCATTTTCTGTCTCCCCCCATCTGAATAAATGTAAGCTCTGCAAGCACAGCATTCTTGTCCTATTCACCCGGTATCCCTAGTCCCTGAAACACAGAAACCGGGACTAGAATTTTTGGAATAAATGAAAGAACATCCGAATGATGTCTGCTGGCATCCTTCCACCAATCACATTTTGAGAAATGAGTGACACTCACACCTTGTGTTGCCACACAGATGATCTCTCATGGGATTGATGCAGAGATTGCAAACCCTCTGCTGTTTGGGGGGTGCTTCGCAGAGCATGCAGGGAAAAGTGATGATAAAGGGACCCCAGAAGTGGCCAGACCACCTTTGGCACAGGACTTGGAAAGCAGTGAGCTGAGGATGGAGTGAACTTGCTTTGCTGAAATATAAACACCATTCATCAGAGCCCAGGCAATTTGGTACACTAGAATAAAAAAGAGATTACAGTCTGAAATGGCTAGAAATACAATTCCTGGTAGATTCTGTCAGTTCTAGACAAAGTGAAGGGCACACCTGAGGCCTTCCAGCAGTTTCTAACCACCAGTTTAGGAGCCTGGCTGGTAAAAGAGTGAAACTGTGCTCTTTGACCTTGGGGACATTGATGTGAGACAGGAGACGGCAGAAGGCCTGGGGATCCTGCAGGATATAGTAGTGCCACCTAACTGCACTAGGGGTTAGCAACTTTCTGAACAAAAACTAGATAACCATTGTGAACAGTGATTTAACCTTGCCAACCCAACTCTCCCCATAGAAAGATGAGAAGGAGGGCAAATCACTGGGTGAGCAAAGGGGAATACAGCTGATTTTCATTGTGCCCGGTAGTTATGTTCTATAACATTGCCATAAATACCGAACTATTGCTGAACCATTGCTCCTAGGGGAAATACAGGGTTAGGTTTCTGCAAGACTCTGGTCACGACATTTTCATCAACTGATCAGTACCTAACCTAACGTTGTTTCTGTTTAAAGACACGTTCTTTAGGACACGGTGTTGAGTTGTCATCACTGGGCTCCCGCCAGCAGCTCTGTAGCTCATGTCTGAGCAAAGCTCCTCGATGCCTGTGTGTTCTCCACTGCACACCTCACAGCCTTCTTGCTCTTAGAAACAGCACACAGAGCTTTGGCACTACACTTGGGGGCCATTTTAAACAGCAAAATCATCAAAACTAAACACAAAAATGTGAAACGTGGCAAACAGACCACAAAAAACACATTTGTTTAGAGTTCGACAGTTAAAACAGGCAGGGAGAGTGTCACCCTGTGTATCAATCCATTTCTGTTGCTTATAACAAAATACTTGGAACTGGGTGATTTATAAGAAAACAAAATTTATTGCTTACAGTTTCTGAGACTGGGGAGTCCAAAGTCCAGGGAACACACCTGGTGAGAGCCTTGGTGGTGGTGACAGTGACAGCAGAGAATCACATTGCAAAAATGGTGGAGAAGAGAGAGTGACTAACCTCTTCATTCACTCTCCTTTTAAGGCCCTCAGAACCACGCCCCTGACCACCATTACTAATCCATTCACCACTGCATGGTCCTACAATCTCATCACCTCTTCAAGGCTCCACCTTTCAATTACCATAATAGGATTTCCCACCCTCTTAATATTGTCACAGTGGGGGTCAGGTTTTGGGGGACACTCAATCTGAGGCACCTGTTAGACTTTAGCTGGGAACATGCGGGTCTGATGGCTCAGATTTTCTACTGCTCTGCACATGCCCGTGAATGACCACGAAAGCATAATGAGTATTAATTTGGGGGGTTACAAATAGATTTTAGCAAGTACGCAAATCCACAAATACCAAGACTTGCCTGTACATTCTCCAACTGCTTTGAAGAGTGAATAACTCTAGCTTAGCACGTCTGATCAACAGTGGATTCTCACCACCAGGCTCACAGGAGGGCTGTCAGCTCAGAGCTCTGGGATTCCTTCCAGCTAACTGGAGCGTTTTGCATATGCTGAGAACAACAGCCTCAGAAAGTATTCACGCCTTGCACCAAGTGTCTTCCATGTGAGAAATCAACTGACTGAATTGAAGCCTGATATATTTTTAGTAAAACTGTACAAAGGAATGACTTTATGAAACTTCTATTCGAAACACAGATGTACAGGGTGTGGTACTTGGGGAGGAGGGAGGCTGCCTGGTGTGAGCCACAGTGAAGGAGCAGAACTCCAGGACAGCGGCTGGGGGACAGCTGGGCTGGAGGGGAGGAGGGAGGTGGCTTTGTCCCAACTGCCACAGACATCCCCTCCTCCCTCCCGCTGCCTCCTTTCCTTTTCCCTCCTCCCCCCACCCCCACCCCCAGCTTCCTTCCTCTTCTCCTTTCCATTGAGGGAGCAGCTTTCCTCTTGGGAGGTGGCCAGGGACACAGGTCAGCACAAGACTGGGAGGAAGACCCAGGCTATCTGTGGGCTGGGCCTTGTGATGTGCACAACCAGAGTCTTTTCCACCTGCCTGAAGGGTTGCCTGCCCCAGAGCTCACCCCCAGTTTGTCCTCCCTTGTTCCGCCTCCTCCTCAAGCTTCTCCTGCAGGAAGAGAGGTGACGGTGAAGCTCCTCAGGGAGGAGGGCAGTGGCTCTGGTTTGCCTGGGCCCAGTGACCTCCCACCTGCTGGGGATGTGGCAGGCTCATCTCCTGGCACACACGACTGCAGCAACTTTGGTTTCTGATGTGTGGAAGGTATGGCTTGGGATCTCCATTCTCCACAGAGTCAGCTGCCTTGGACAGCTGCAAATTTCACCCCACAGAGACTGCACGTGAGTGAGGACATAGAGCATGGAGCAGGGCACAGGGCTCCCCGTGAGGTCCCACACAGCCATGTCCTCTTCTCCATGTCTCTCCTCCCCGAGCGGGAGCACAGCAGCCCAATGGATGAGGATTTTCAAATGTTAGAACTGGAAAGAGCAGCTGCAGCTTCGTTCTACCACTTACAGGGGCCTGGAAGAAAAAGGCGCGTTCCAGGCTAGAGGCAGCTGGACAGCAGAGCCAGATGGAATTCAGCCCCTCTGGACTGGAGTCCAGAGATGGTCTTTGGCAATATTTTGATGGATGAAACCACAAGTTTCATTTTGTGTCTGTTGAAATTCCTTGTGAAGCCATAGTGCCATTGTTTGAACTTGCGGCAGACCAAACTGACCTTTGTCCTTGGGGCAGAAACCTGGTCCACTGGCCCAGCCCATGAGCCCTCACTCTCTGACATGGAAAACCTCATTTCCTGGTGCAGCCCTGTCAGGGCCAGGAGAGCCAGCCCACCTCGTCACACCACAGCAGTGGAGACGGGTTGGAACATGGAGGTGTGGAAGCAGATGTTTCAGGAACTAATGCAGGAGGTGAAACCATGGCACAGGTGGACACTGACTCCAGACAAAGGCCTGCTTCCCAGTGTCCTACAGCCAGGGTGGATGCAATACCAGCAGTGGACCTTCGCCAGGTGAGAGGGGTGCAATGGTACATATTCCAGAAAATTCTTGCTTATTTCTTACTGTGTGTACTCCTTACTTTTCTTGTTCCATTCCATGCTTGCAAATTGAAGAGTAGGGGAAATAAGGTGCCCATCACTCAAGACGTTTTAGCTTCATTAAAGAATTTTTTCCGTTACAATGAATTCCCAAACAATAGCAAGCCTGGGAACGCGCCCTGCGTGGGCTAATGCCTGGATACAAAGAAACCGGGCTGCAGGATGGGGACAGGGAGCAGCCAGGAAAGGGGAAGTGCTGGGATTGTGGCTGCTTCACTCAGGGGCAGGCAGTGCATATGCTCCCTGCCTTGGGAGGCTCCCAAGTCCACCACAGAGCCTTGGAGTGGGACCCACTGTACTGAGGAGCTCTCCCTCCCCAGGGAGAGGCAGGAGTGCTGAGCAGCATGCAGCAATCTTGCCCCCTCTACCTTAACCCAGGGGAATCTGTAAAACAGGACTCCTAGAGATCAAACAAAGTCTTGTCCTCTATTTTCCAGGTGGGGAAGTGGACCCTGGGAGTTGAGAGGTGGGGATCATCCATGGTGCACAAACAGTGGAATCCTGGGACTCTGTCCTGCCTGCCACCCCCTCTCTAGGAGCTTGTAGGCAGAGGAAGCAGTGCTCTCTTCTCCTCGCGGTCCATGGCTTTCCCAGTCCAGGAGCTGGCATCTGGAGCATCTGAGCAAAGTCTCAGTCCACTGATTTGTGATAACTTCCAACTCCGAGCCAGTACACCAGCAAAGCACCATGACCTGCCTGGGAGGGAAGGGGACTGCTGCTCAGAACGGGAACCAGGCCTCTTTGCACCACCAACTCCCTGAGTGACTCCAGCAAGTTCATCTCACTGTGGTCAGAGTCTCCTGGCTTCTCCCCTCATTTCCTCCTCACATTCCGCTGTAAGGCAAGTCTCAAATGAAGACACAGGAGGAAACCTGAACTAACTCATTCTTCCCAGCCCCCTCCAACTTGCCATCCCAGACTTCAAGCCAGGCAAGGCTAGGCCCAGCCACACTAACAAATAAACCCAGAAATATCAGTGATTATCCTAACACGTGGCTCCCAAGGTCACCAAGGCAGAGTAAGAGAGAGCTGGAGTCTTACAAGGGCTCTAGGGCCACATCTGGAAGGAGTATATATCATGGCTGCCCACATCCCGTTGACCAACCGGGTGCAAGGCCCCAGCCTAACTGCAAGGGGGCTAGGGAGTGGCAGGGACTGCATGAATACTTTGGTGAGCATTAAATGTCTCTGCCACACAGCAGCCCTCTGTTCCATAATTCCTATCCTGAGTACATCCATGTGCTTCCTGCCTTCTTCTCTCTCCACCTGTCCTAACATGTATTTATCCAAATATCTTAGCCCAGAAAATTCCCTCTCCCCTGCTGAGACAAGGTGTCTGAGGCCAGTGTGCTCAGAATACACAGTTTTCCAGGCTACCTTGACCAAAGGAATTTAGTGAGAGGGGGAGCAAAGAGAGAGCTGGACACTACCATCTCCCTGTAATAACGCAGATTAGGGGCCCAGGGCAGCCAACGGCAATGCAGGGCTTTTCTCTAGGACACTGGGCCCTTCAGACCCCTCCTTGATCTACCGGTCTATTACGTAAGCAACACCCACTTGTACCCATCGGTGGGTTTCAGTTCGGGGCTCTAGGAAGCTGATGAAGGCTGCCGTTGCACTTGTAACCTTGGTCCATTTAAATCCACATTTGCAGAAACCTTGGTTTGGGGCCAGGAGACCGGAGTTCTAGTCCTGCTTCTTTTTCCCTCTGGGTCTCTGGCATCATGAGTTGCCAGAGTGTGTCTCATCTCTGAAATGAGCACGTTGGATCAGAAGATGCCCAAGGTCCCTTCCAGCTCTGTTGGCTGTGGTTTTCTATTTTCATGGCAGACACCTGTGGATCATGGAACATGTCGATGGCACACTGGAGATGGGAAGAAGGGGCTCAGTAATGTCTCCTACCACTAATCTGTGTCTGAAGTCAAGTTGTGTCACTGTGCTGTCGGCAGCTCCTTCCTCCCCCCGGCAGCAGCCCATAATTTGGCCCTATCCAGCCATGCTGAGGCTCTCGTCCTCTGTCTCCCCAGGTTCCAGTGCTCCTCCTGCTCCCGCAGTTGGGCCTCTGCCCATGTCCAGGTCCTTTTCCACATGCACTGGAGTGAGGGGACATCCAGTGGCCAAGTGAAGATGAGGGTCTTTGCCCAGAGATGTAAGAAGTGCTCCCAGCCTCTGTTCGAGGCTCCTGAGTTCACGCAAGAGAACATCTCAAGGATCCTGAACAACCTGGTGCTGCGGATTCTGAAGAAATGTTATAGAGAAGGGTTTAAGTTAGTGGAGGAGATTCCTATGGTCAAGGAGGTCTCTCTGGAAGGGCCCCATGACAGTGACAACTGCGAGGCCTGTCTGCAGGGCTTTTGTGCTCAGAGTGGGCTGCGCCCAGCCATGCAGTCACCGAGGCCCCCAGCACTGCCCACCCTCTCCAAGGTCGCAGAGGGGCCCAGGGTCACTGCTACTGTCATCGACCTCCCCTGCTCACAACCACCCCCCAAAGACAACAAGCCCCTTGAGTCGAAAGTTCACCCTAAAATCGCTAACCCTCCCAAGGCTGCCAATACCCCCAAGGTCAGCAAAACCTCAAAACCATCAACTGCTCCAAGATGTCCAGCCCAACAGTTGCCACCAGCAAGCTCACCTACCCCTGGGATGGCCACTCAAGTGCCCTCTCCCACAAAGAGTCGCATGGCAGCAGACGCAGTGACCAGGGACACCAGGCTGAAGACAGGAAGGGTGTTGCCTGTGTCCCCCTTGTTTGCTGAGCCCAGGCAGGCCACTGGCCTCCCCGCTTCTTGGAGCCCTGGAGTAAACACCACTTACCAGGTGGAAAGGAGAGTCCAGAGTGACTACCCCTTGAGTGACAATTTCTGTTGTTGTACGTGCCAGGATTGCAGACCTAGGAACTTCAACACTTGCTGTTGTTTCATTCATTCTGATTGTCATCATCGTGGTGATTGTTGTCAAAACAATGTGAGCCTCAAAAACACGATGCTAAGTAAAAATAAATAAATAGACAGAAAAAGTCACACATCATATGATTCTATTTCTATGAAATGTCCAGAATAGGTAAGTCCATAGAGACAGGAAGTAGATGGTGGCTACCAGAGGTTGCGGGGAGGAGAGGGGATAGGAAGCAACTATGTACTAGGTATGGGGTTTTCAGGGGGTGGCAAAAACGCTTTGGAATGAGATGGAGCTGGCGGTTGCACAACACTGTCAGTGCACAAAACATCACTGAATCGTTCACTTTAAAATGGTTGATTTTGGCATCAAAGGCACGGAAAGCCAGCAAAGGTTTCCACGAAGGCAGAGAGAAGCTCGTCAGACTGCCACAGACCCACGACCCCGTAAG